CAGCCGCTGTCTGCTCTGGTAGCGAACCTGGAAAAAAAATTCTTTTTTAGTAACAGGGACCAACTGTCTAAAAAAATTATTAACTAGAGAAAATAGATAGAAAATATACATGGAAAGGGAAATGGAGAAGGAGAAATACAGGAGGAGGTAATACAAACCACACGACCACAGATCTTCCACGAAATATATATTACAACAAAGTCTATTTTGCTTGATTTGAAGGGCTTTCTTATGCTAGAGTGAACAAGAAAATATCAACGACAATCGAACATCTCTTCTAAAACGATTACAATTAACATTAGAAACAATAGTTGCAGTTTCTTCACATACACATTCCTTACCTTCTCTGCTTGGAACCAAACACATTCATGTTTCCAATCTATTAACTCCCTTGACCAACAGTATGATATCCTTTATGTGTTAGAAGATAAAAATATAACCCAGAAACCTCACCACAACTTCAAAGTTCTAGTGTTACCTTCTCTGCTTGGAACCAAACACATTCCATGTTTCCAATCTATCAACTCCCTTGACCAACAGTATGATATCCTTTATGTGTTAGGATATACAAACTACAAAGATAACCCAGAAACCTCACCGCAACTTCAAGGTAGTGGCCCAGGGGACTTTAAGACGGTAGTAGAGTAACCTAGGTTCAAATCCTACTAGCCACGAGTTTAAAGAGGATTTAAAAAAATTGGTAATGCAATGTGAGTTCAGGTTTCGGCCCATAAAAAAGGGCACTCAACCTGCAAGCATCACCACAACTTTGGAGATTTGGTGGAGTAGCAAGGACTTTAGGGACATGTTTGGTCAAACCATGGTTCATAACAGAATATTCCAGTTAAATCATATGGGTTATATACATAACCTTATATTATAATAAAAAAAATTCAAGGAACCTGAATCATAAAAAGTAAATGTTACATTAACTTTTACCTTTTTCCCAAAATTCCTTTCCTTCCTCTTTTGTCGAAATTTGTTCAAGGCCGCCTCTCTCTGTGCAAGCCGGTTCTGATCTACTCCGCTACCACTGCCGCTCCCACTCCCATTGCCGCCCACGACTCCATGTTTTTCTGCAATGCCATTAGGAGTCTCCATATTTGCTCCAGCATTGACACAAGCACTGCTTCCATTCTGACCATCGCTCCCATTATTACTGCCCGAATTGCTCCCATTTAGACTACTATAGTTCGCAGCATTTCCTTCAATTGGACCAGAAAACACATTGGACGATCCACAATGTTGGGCAGCAGCTTTCATGTTCTTACGAGATGATTCCTCATGTTCTGATGACTGCTGCACCTGCGGCTGTTTCTTCATGCTATGAACATGGTGATGGTGATGATGATAATGGTGATGGTGATGCTGTACTTGGTACTGACACTGGACACCAGTTGAATTTCCTACCACTGTCGTAGTCTCCATGTCATCAATTTTCTCAATCACGACTTGATGAGAAGTTCGAACCTGCACAGGGTGGAAAGCTGAGGGATGGCTACTACTCTTTGCAGGCAGTGCAGATGCTGCATTTTCCTTATAGGCTGCTGGATTAGTAGTAGACCCCTTATCGTTGTTGTCACTACTTCCGTTGGACCCTTGCTTTGCTATAGCAGGATTAGAATTAGATATCATATTTTGTGTAGACTCTGTCTTCATTATCTCAGAGCTATTATCGATAGGTGAACAACTTCCAACATATCCTGTAAGAGCCTGAGTTGAAGCTGCAGAAGTGCGGTACCTACATCAAGAATTAGGCATAGAAGTTACACAACTTTATACAGAATGTTTCATCCGGATACAAGCTTTCAAACCATTTTTTGCACTCTACCTTGAGAATGCTGATTGGTCAGAACGTCTCAAAGTATTGCGATCATCATGAGCGGCATTATTGCCTTCTCCGGTAGATCTCAACCTCTTTAAACTCAGCTGAAGTGATGGTAACTCCATAGTATCAGCATTCTTTTTATCTTTGCTTTCAGAGGGTCTGGAGGCAGTATCGCCAGTAACCAGTTGAGCATCAGTATTCTTGGCAATCCCAGCAACGAGATCAGCAGCTTCAGTGCCCAGATCATCAAATGGATTACTACTTTCAAGTCCCAGTAGATCCTTGTTCTTCTCACTTTCAGGCTGTTTCTCTGTGCTCTTGCTCATCATATTTTCTATAGGATGAGATTCAGGAGGTACATCAGGATTCCTCGGCACTCCTATCTCCAGATGTTTTCCCATGAATGCATCTGCAGCTCAAAACAATAAAAGCACGAAAATGCTGTGCATGCAAAGTAAAGTATATCATTATGTTGTCAGTTAGATGCAGATACTATGAAAGTTACAAACCAGCATGTTTATTCTGCTTTTGGCACTTTATAGCAGTCGTGGGCACCCATTTATTGCAGAGTAATTCCCTGTCAGAAATAACCTGGGCACAGGTGCTATCATGTGGATCAGGTAACTGATCAGATGGAGACATAGGTTGGGGACTGTCAATTTCGACAGCATGTTTTGTCCAGGAACTCTGTACATGAGAAGCAGAATGCAGAGTTCAGCATGTATTACAATGGAACAACTGGTAATAACTCACTGATTCAAGGATAATCAAAGACAAATTCAAACAAACATACCCCTCACATTGAAACTGATCTTATTTCTTCAAGAGTTAACAGAGATAACTACTAGTATTGTGACAGTGCACCACTACCCTATTTGTGCATCCCTACTGACTGTATACATTGAAAAACAGATCTAATCAATTTTCTTAGTAGTGTCTAATGTAGTACAATATGTTTACACATCAATAGTAACAAATACCCCTGCTTGAGAACCAGACACACAAAAGGGTGGAAACCAATTGTAGCTGGCAATAGATGACTGTCAGTGGGACCCAAACTGTCAACTCTTTTTATTTCCCAAACTCATGTCAGCTTCATAGGCGCCCCTGACCAAAGTTAGAAGCCTCATGGATCTCAAACAGGTATGTGAATTCATGAGGTATTCCTCGTTAATTCCCATATGGCATGTGTCTTACTTTATAAAATTCCTTTTAGGTGTACGATAGGCTATACCCTCTTATTTTGAAGCTTTGCAGAGCCATTTAGAGTTAGTCTTTTGAACCTTCCTGGAATCTGAGGCTAACCGCCTAGTTTTATAAGTTGCTTAAAGAGTTATACACCTACAATATTAATGTTGTCAATTTAACAGTTCTACACCTACAATACTAATGTTGTCAATTTAACAGTCTACACTAGCAATTATCTTGCAACTGAGGGAACTAGTCACTTTTGGTGTAATCTCAAGCAGAATCTTTTCATCCTAAAATTTAATTTACTCGTTTAAGCCCTAATGTAAGAAATTTGGTGCTTGCTTTTTGGTTGCAGAAGTATTAACAAAATTCATCAGGTTTAATCTATAAATATTTAGAATCATGTGTTCCCATTTTAATAGGGGAAAGTGCTCAGCTAGCTAGCAATAAAAAATGGTGTGGACACAGAAGCCACTTATTTTGCACCGCACATGTTGTTTTAGTCTCATTGAAAATTTAACAAAACAAGTCATTACTATTGTATTACAAGCGTTATCTGATTCAACTTGTTCAGGGTTCTACCATTAATCACAGGGCCAAAACAATAGTTAATTAATTAACAGGCGTGATTAAATGACATGTTCCATAAAGGATAGACATGAACTATTTGATTTGTTTAAAAGGTACATGAAGCACAAATCTGGAAAACATCTATAGTCTTAACGTTAAATCATAGACCATCATGAGGAATATCAGTCGTTTCAGCAGCTGATTGTTGGAAATTAGCCTTGTATTTCAGCTCGGGAGACAAAGCGGCAGGTGAAATGAGGCAAAAATGGCACAGGACACATGGGATTGGCCGGTCGGACTGGTCAGGAAGCCCTGCCGCTACACGGGTAGTTTTAAAATACATCCTGTGTTTCTTTGAGCAGTCCGGCAGAGTTTGATGAAGCTTACAGTTCTGAGACGAAAAGATCCTAAGTTTTTTGGTGCACTGTGATGTTACAGTTTCACATGGAAAATGAATATTTTTTGCTATTATAAGTTTTAGATGATAGGTGATGTGACTGTCATTTATTTCGTACACAGATTAGTGTTTGTACTTCATCTCTTTACATTGGGTAATGAAAAAGCTAACATTTCATGCCGAAAAAATGATGAGATCAGCTCCACAGCAGATTTTAGACATCCTCGAAGGTACAAATTGGACATAGCAAGCAAGCAAATGGTCCAAAACGAGAGAGACTAATGACGTACCTGAGTTCCGCTTCCATTATCGCTGCCATCTCTTGCATTCATGCCAATGCTTGCATTATCATCTTCATCATTGCTGGTGCTATTGTTGTCAGAGACATCAGTGCTCTTGGATGATTTTTGGGTCTGAATACCACTTTCACTGACACTGCCACTGGACTGAAAGAGCCACAGGTTGTTCCAATGGAAAAGAGGGGGAAATGATAAAATACAGACAATGTAATGAATGTTAAAGCAAATACAGCACATGCAACAGATATGGAAAAAAAAAGTTTACGCAGGTAGTCATGTAATGGATAGTAAAAGCAATTAAATATTAGAAAGATAGAGATAATTCTGGGTTGATATGAAGTCTGTTGGTCTATGCTCTATCATAACAGATGAGGACATGTTCTAAGCTCACGGTTACAAATAAAAATATCTGACAGGCAAGAGAAGAGGAACCAAACATCGAATATGACCTATGCAACTTAAAGTGCCATGACAGTAAAAAAAATTGATTTAGAGACACTAGACAATCCGCCATATGGTAAGAATGAAAATGTAACTTAACGAACATCTGTTTGGAGGTTGCTTGACCTACTGTCTGAAGGTTCCAGAAAACAATTCCTTTTTATTTATGTGTTTTAAATTATGTAAGTATCAAAAAACACAGCATAAAAAAATATAGGGCTTTTTGCTTATGTCCTTATGATTGTAGGAAATAACATAGTTCACCTAGCATGCTACATGTCCTTATATCTCCATGTTGCTCCTTTCGGACTTATTTGTAAATATATGTTTGTTTCATGTGACGATTGGTGAAATTTGTGACGATTAGTGAAATTTAGTTACATTGAAGTCTAGGAATAGTTTAAGTTAGTTTCTATGGTTTAAAGGACAAAACTAGCTTAAAATTCCCGATTTCAGTCATGTTACCTTTCATATCCCTGTATTTCGCCCATTTATTGCTAGGTTTACGTGAAAAAGATATGTCGTTCTTATGGAAATATGACTGAATGATAAGTAAACTTGATTTATCATGATTCATAAAAAGGAACGTACCATGCTTTAATGCCCAAAAGATCATCGATTTTTAATTTATACATTGTTTGGTAACGAAGGGTATGTCTGCTAAATAATGCAAAAACCAAAGGACGTATAGGGAAATACCATAGACAAGAAGAAATAAATTATATTTTGAGAACATAAGAAATATATGCCAAAAAGTCCAAGGGACAAATATTTAAAATAGCCCATCAAAATGACTACTACCTGCATGCAAGATTTCTGATGTGCCTGTTTGTATTATGACCAAACTCCTTGCATGAGAAAACATGGTATACACAAAATAAGGGGAGGGGGATTGCAAAGATGCTTACGCTGTGAGATCTCCTCCAGACATGCTGCCAAAGGTTTTTAAGCTCATTTTTCCGAATAGGTTTCACTAAAAAATCAACAGCACCTTTTGATAAACATTTGAATACTGTACCCATAGAGTCATTCGACGACATCACTGCACAGAAAACTCATCAGGTGTAGCAATTTAGAGCACCCAAAGTAAATTGATATAAGAAAATTTTGTACTTAAGGTGTATAGGAAAAATACTCACTAATCACAGGAATATTCTTGCTAGTATCCTTGCTCATAATCTTGGACAGAAGACTAATTCCAGACAAGCCAGGCATGACTACCTCCGTCAATACAAGATCAATGTGATTTGTAGGATTTTCTAAAATTTTCCAAGCTTGTAAACCATTTGCAGCAGCAGTAACTGACAACATATAAGTAAACATTATGGGAGAACTCTTTGCAGAGAATATTAATAGAGGCCCGATAACAACAAGAAAACCCATTGAAATACAAATCAGTGCAATTATTCACTACCAACTGAACGACATTCATAAAAAATGACGCGCCCAAATGTGGAGAAATTACAAATGATCTGAAAATATTAATTCTATTCAAAGGCTGTTGTTTGAGTCTCATCATCTGCGATGGGCTAGACGTTTTGAATTTATAAAGTAAGATGATACGAAGTCTGATTTATGCAATAAAAGTTGAGTCCACCATCGAAAGTTGTGCTAACACTGTTGACATTGAAACTTGTCGTTACTTATGCAGGCATGAGTTCTCTCCTTGAGTTTGAAACTTTCTTTTCTTCAAAGGAGTTTGTCAAGAAGATATAGCTTGTTTACTCATTAAATTTTTTTTTGTTTATGAAAATTTGAAAGTGATGTTCAAAATTAAAATTAATTTTATTTGTTTATTTTTGTTATGATTAATTGAAAATGACACTTACAAGGTTGTATACCAATGTCAAGCTCATAATAGTAAAATAAGCAATTGACTCAGGTAGTTCATAATTTATTTAGGCCAGGGTGAGAGAAAATCATGGGTGGGTCCACATTGAGAATAGTGAGGTCACTTGACCGCACTTTGCTCAAGGAATACTAGGACCCCCCTAGTAAACACCCACCAATCAGAGAATTTTATCACACTAATAGGCATGTGACCCTACTGGAAAATCGAAGAGACCCATATCCCCTAGACCCTAAATTTAGAAATCCAAAAAGACCCAATAGATCGCACCCATCTAATAACCTACCAATTAGACTAATAATTCCACTCATTGTTTTAAAAAGCAGTCTAGACGCCCGCTTAGGCGAGTGCTTAAACCTAAGCCGTACCTAGGCCACTCATCTAAGCCATGGGAACGTCTATGGGAAAACAGGCAACTTGTGTAGACTATATAGTATTAGAAAGAGGTATATTGCTCGCTTAAGCATAGTAATTGTTGAAGAGAGTTAGCCAAGTTAAAATGTATTAGAGATCAAAACTTTATGTCTAAGTTTATCTCAAGTAAAACAATGAGCATATGATTTGAATCTTCAAAAACGATCATTCCCCTCTCAATGTTAAAAATCGTCTATGTAACGCTTAAGCGTCCGCCTAGGCACTTAGGCGTTAGGTCTGGCACCTAGAAACATCTGGAGCTTTCTAAAACATTGGTTCCACTAAGATCCCAATTGGACCCGCCCTTGTGTCCGCCTGCCCCACCCAGCTTAAAAGAGTCTCTTGTAGTCTAGTTGGGTCAACATGAACGATTATTTATTTTTCCGGTTCTAGTTTTTTTATTCTCCATCTCCTTTGCACCTTGGTATCTTTCAATTTTGTAATAACTCATCCGCCTTCTTGTCCACGTATCTTCTCCTCCTCTACTTTGGATGAGAGCCCTCTTTGACTGCTCCTTACTTTGACCTTGTGGTGAGTTATTGTCTTTTTTATGTATAGAATTTATGATTTTTTGGGATTTTGGTCGTGACTACGACAAATATGGAGAGAGCTCTTTTTGCAATGAAGTTGACAAAGAGAAAGTTACATAATAAAATAAGTGATGATTAGCTCAATGATTTCTTAGTGACATATATTTAGAAAGATGTATCTGACAGTGTTATTAATTATGTGATCATGTATTTTTTCCTCAAAATATGATAAGTTGTCAAGAACAATTGTCAACTTTTAAGTATTAACATAATTATATAGTGACACCCCTTCTCAAAAATCCTAGATCCGCCACTAGAGAAAATAGTTTAGGATTGGATATTTGATTTGAGTTTAAATAGGTTATTTGATTTGAATTTTGGACTAGATATTTGATTTTATTTTAGGATTAAATATTAAATTTGAGATTTGATTTGAGGCCTTATCTCAATCTGAAATTAGCATAAGTTAATTATTTTGAAATAAATTTCAAGTTTTAGTCAATAAATACCTTGTAAGTTTGAGGTATTAGTTACGAGATTCATTTGATTTTGCGATGAAAACTCAATGAAATGCATGTGAATCACTTACTAATAAGAAGAAAAATTCTATTCTTCAAAGATGTGATTCCAACTCTTTTCTTTTCTTTCTTGTTTGCTTTGTTGCAGCAACCCCCAACATGCTCCTAATGTTATACAGCAATTAGTTCCCTAGACGGGCAACTAAGCGCCGCCACCGACGTGATTTTTTTGTAACATGTTAGATTTCAACTGTGAGAAGTTAGGTGGCAAACTTTTGGGTTTCAAACGGAGATGGAGGAAGATGATTGACAAGGTTAAGAGTTTCATCGACGAAGTGGCGTCATAAGAATGTCCAAGTCAAAGTGAGGAAGTTCGGGTTCCAACTTGATCTTAGAAGGGATGATGGATTACAGTTCACATAAAACAGTAATTTGCGAGAAAATGTGCATGCATGAACAATAACTAAAGGGAATTTTGAGTTGGAGGCTATTTTGGGAAGATTTAGTTTTTTGGCTTTTGTATGTTTTGTGTTTGATGGATTGATTTGGTCAGTTGAGATGATTTGAGGTATGTGATTTTTATATCTAAAGGTTGAATCACAAAGAAACAAAGATACAAGAGTTTTGGGCCTCACACCTGCAGAGAACTCACTTGCTTAGATTAGCAACTCATATGTTAAATCGTAAAATGCACCTGACGTGCATAAATACATATTTCTCAAATAGAAACTGGAATACAATAATTTTTGTAAATTGATGCTCAAACAAACGACTACAACCTATGTTACTCGGGTACTTCTATCATGAAGTCATACCCATGCCGAACGCATACCGAAAGGTATCTGCACCGTACCCAAACTTCATGTATACTTCTTGCGCATATGCATATATTTGTTCAAATATGTACTCAATTATATAATGTCTTAATTTATAACACTTATCATATATTTTTTGGACATATCATACACATCATAACATTTCTTGAAACTCATTAATAATTACACATGGGTCAGGTCTGTTTTAGCGCATACCTAAGTTCAAAAACTATGATTTTAAAGGGTCATTTGGGTGTCCAGTTCAAAAACGAGCAATTGTCAATTTATAATAATAAAAACAATGAAAGAATAAAATTGTGACAGGTTATTCTAGTAACACATGAATTGAAAAACAATAATGACCTCGCGTAAGCTTATTTAATTTCAATAATATATATTATATATATTATATATTATATATATATATTATATATATATATATATATATATATATATATATATATATATATATATATATATATATATTGTGTCCCGTATACCTTCGCGCCTTGATATTTTACAAGTTTGCCATGTCTCGTACCCATACCCGTACCCTCATCTATATCGGTCCTCGTGCCCATTTCTATGCAGTTTAGACTACAACCTTATTCAGAGTTAAGTGAGATTATTATCAGTAATATCTGACATGTAAATACTATGAAACCAATTATAAAATTTAGAGTCTGAAAATACAAACCGGTAGATTTGATCTGCTACACGTACACTACTTAGAAATAAAATTTCGTCGAAATAATATTAATAGTAGTCTAGCTCAACTTGCCTTATTTATAGAGAAAAGGAAAGAAAAACCAAATCGTAAACCAACTCTAATCCTAACAAAATAGAAAGACAATCTTATCAAATTCTAATAAAAAAAGAAGATAACATCAAAATCGAAGTACAAAAAATTCTAACAAAAATAACAAATTACATTAAATAAAATCAAATTCTAACAAAAAAAATATAACATCCTAACTTCACAAGTTAATGGTCTATGAAGACTTGTACCTACAACAAACCTACCATAGTATTCACCCTCAAATTTTATAGTAGGAGAGCATAATTATTATTTTGACTGATAGGAAGTACTTTTTTCCAAATTGCAAGGTCTTCAAAATTAACTCCAGAATTCAAAATCGAATAGGTGGTGACGGATCTCGTGTAAAAAAGTCTAAATTCAAATTACACTGGACGAAAGTATCTTGAACCTCATTTCAATCTAATCTGACTCAAGCTCTGAATCAATGTACTACTTTGCTTTAAGCTCCTCCTCCTACTTCTTACTCTAATTTAGACTTTAATCCTGGTTCAAGTTTAGACTTTAATCATAGCATCTTCCATCTCGACTTAAGATCTATGTCCATATATAATTATAACGGTGAGGATAGCGAAAATGGCGGCAGGCGTGTTCCATCTCGATGATGGTGGTCCGCAAAACCAGTTCCAACCAAAGGAAGACAATACAAGAAGACAACACAAGAAAACCCAAGCAAAGAGTAGAAAAAGAAGAATGGGAAAAATCAATATTTGCCCATAATTAAAAAAATTCTAAAGTTCGCAGTTTATAAAGAAGAGAACCAAAGCAAAGAAAATAAAGAAATAATGAATTCACACGTACTTGAAATAAAAGAGTTGTTCACTTATTCAAAAGAAAGAAGAATTAAAATGAAGCAACCCAAATCTTTACATATATTGCGGTGGGCAAGCGCAAGAGAGTTCATGCTCTTCAATGTACCAAAGTCTAATAGGCAGCCCACGCTTGCATTTGTTATGAATTGACAAGTGCAAGAGAGGTTTATTCTTGTAAGTGTGGAATAAAAAGGAGGGACAAGTTTTGTGAGGAAGCAATAGATCAAGATTGTCAAAGGCACAGTAAAGAAGTTGGGTTATGATAGATTTTAGAAAAGGATCAAGATTGTCAAAGGCACAGTATAGAAGTTGGGTTATGATTGATTTTAGAAGGGGATGATCCTCTCACATGAATAGTGTTAGGTGAGTCATTGTTCATGCATGAACAACTAATAAAAGAATTTGTGTCAAGGCTCTTCTGGGAGGATTTGCTTCATATGGGTTTTCTATTTGATTGATTGATTTGAGGTATGGGGAGAGTTAGATCTAAATTTTGAATAACTACAACAATAAAGTTTTGATCTTAAATTTTTAGGGTCGACTACATGAATCATATTCTTCCATGTAGTTGCACTTTGGGTCATCTCCTCTGTCAAATTAGCTATTATCATATCCTCATTAATTGCTTCCACCAAGTTATTTTAGGTCGATCCATAGGTCTATTTGCCCTAATACCTATAATATTATTGCTTTTTCTAATCGATATAGTAAGAAGTAAAGTATCTCAACTGATTCTCCCATTTATAGTTAAAGCAATCACAAATCTTCTGTAGATGCGCTCATTTCTTATTCTAACTTTTAGCGTTTACCAACAAGATCACCGTAACAATCTCATTTTAGCTACAATCAATTGTTCATAAAAATTTAGTCTATGAAATATTACTGGTCTTATAATTGTTCTATGGAATTTTCACTTCAATTTCATAGGCATTCTAGATCACATAGGACTTCAGATGCACTTCTACAGTTTAAACATCCCGATTTGATTCCATGAACAACATCATAATCTCACCATCATAATTCTAAATAACGAAAGTGATTACATTAAGATATTTCTTGACCACCATTATATACTGTATGCTCTTTTCTCTTTGCAATTTCACAAAATGCATTCTATTTTAATTCTACTAATTCTAAATCCTTTAATTTTGAGAGCATGCCGAGACCTTTCTATTTTAGAAAGTACATCATTTCTAGCCTCAATCAATAATACTAAATCATCACCAAATAGCATACACCATAGAACTTCATTCTACATATATCTAGTAAGTTGGTCTATAATTAATACAAAAAGGTAAGGGCTTAAGATTGACCCTTAATGTAAATTATTACTTATATCATCAGCAAATAACATACAATGTATAACTTTATCCTGAATATGTCTAGTCAATTAGTCTATAATTAATTCAAAAAGATAAGGGTTTAAGGATAGCCCTTGATATATACCTATGATAATAGGAAATGGTTTGTCTTTCCTTCATTTGTTATCACTCTAGTTGTAGCTATATTACATATATCTTTAATCACATCAATAATTATACTAAATTTGTGCTTCTTTCTAGAGCTCATTGCAGTATATTCCAAGGAACTCTATCATGAGCTTTTCTAATAGCAATGAAAACCATATATGAATTTCTTTCTTCTCCTTATATCTCCATTGATTGTCTCAATATATAAATAGTTTTATGATTGATCTCCCGGGCATAAAAAAAATTTGGTGTTAGATACACTTCTCCCTTTTTTGGTCTTTTTGCAATTAACCACTCCCAAAATTTTATTGTATGGTTCATGAGTTTAATACCATGATAGTTTAAATAATTCACAGTATATCTCCTTTATTCTTTTATATATGTACCAACGTGCTAATCCTCCATGACACATTTTCTTCGTTGAATAACTAAGAAATGAAAATACATGATAATTTTTAGGCCTTACACCTTGGACAACTCACATGCTTGCACCTTATATGCACACGAACACATATTTCTTAATCATAAACTGGAATCCAATAATTTTCATAAACCAATATCTATCTCCAAATGAGGACTAATACATTGTATCTATGTACATGATAACTCATAAGGGTACATTTCACTACACTACTTGTCTAACTTTTTTACACCGCCTTCAAGTTGCATGTATAGCAATCATTTCCAGCTTGTTACATAAAAGTTAATAACTCTTATGACCATCCAAACTAACAAAAGAAGTGGCAACCTTCATGGCGTACACCAAGTAGAGGTTTTGCTCTCAATTCTCAACGACTTTATAAACAGCAACATCATTCAAAGGTTTGGTAAAAGAAACTGGTCAAGCACTAGTAACTGACAGTAATCTAAAGATCCTAAAGATGATGAACATCTTTGGTCTCAAACAGACATATCATCAGAGTCTAATCTAGAAGACTGAGAGTAGGTTCTCTGACATGAAAACAGATAATTGAATTTTCATCTTAAAGACAAACAACAGTAGCTTTGTCATGGTGACAAACAATAGAATCTCCATCATGAAGACAAAATACAATAAAATCTAGGATACAGAGCCAAAAAAAGGATCTCCGATAATGAGACGATCAATAGAATATTTATCCTGGAGACGAAAAAAAAAGAATCTCTGCTCTGGAGACTGCATGATCCATGAAAACAACACATACAAAGAAACTAGGATCTGCGTAATGAACATAGACTGTATGTTTAGACCACTTTAAGGCCAAGAGGTTAATGCATTAGCATTGAAGCCAGATAACAGTAAATACAAGTTGTACAACATCCATCCAATGTATTAAATATCAAAAATATCGGATGGCCAAATTCCATATCGGATTGCGAAAATCAGGGATATGTAAAAAATATTGGGGTATCATATCAGATGATGTATATATGTAACACAACATTGTAATATGTAACACAACATATTTGATGTATTCTAAACATAAAAAATTACATCATGAATAATGATATATGACGTTTAGAGACATTAGATACAGGTATAGGTCTGAAAGAGAGAGAGAGAGAGAGAGAGAGAGAGAGAGAGAGAGAGAAGACATGAACAGAGGAGAGAGGGGAAGGCAGAGAGAGAAGGGAGAGAGAAATTGAGAGAGGAGAGAGGAAGAGAGACAGAGGGATCTGAGGAGCTGAGAGAGAGGAGAACTGGAGAAGAGAAAGAGAGAGTGGAAAGAGAGATGAGAGAGATTTATACCTGAGATCTCCTAGTGTTTTTGAACTAGAGTACCGAACTAAGAGGGGGGAGAAAATGAGATTGACTAGGGATTTAAGATATTTGGGTTTGGGGATTTATTACGTTTCCGGGTCCGGTGGGAACCAAAACCCAAACGCAAACTCAATAACCATTTTTATTTGGATATTAGCCAATATCGGCCGATATTTCCTTAATGAAATATCGGCCGATATTTCCGATATATCAAAAAAAAGTGGTAAAAATCGGAAAACGATATTTGTTCATAAATATTGTATGGTAAGGGCATCAAAACATATATATCGGCTGATATTTAATACAATGCAGCCATCAAAACGTTTACAGCTTCTTAATGTTAAATCTCAAAAAAAGATTTTGACAACAATGTGATGCAATGTCCCGTAAGTATGAGTTTCATCATGCAGCAGTAGACACCCAGCTATAAGATTTTAACAAACTGTAAACATATTGGAAAAATACAACCAGCTTATAAATTAATTTCACCTAAACAAAAAGAGAAAGGGGCGTGTGAGAAGATAAAAAGTAAAGTCTGAATTTAGAGAAGAAAGAATATGTAGAATTATATCAGGAAAATAAAAGATGGTGAACAATATCCAGTTGTAATGCTTGAGTCCTAGCATACAGACACCAATCAGAACAACAGTCAATGATGAATGGAAGTTTATGATAGATATTCCATAAAATATCCATTGCAAAGCAGAACGAACATAAGGAGAAATCAACATGACCAAGTTGGTTACCTTCATAACTACAATTTCGAAGCAGTGCACTGACCACTTGGCGAGTAGAATCATCACTCTCCACAAGCAGAACCTTGAGTGTTCTAACAGGAAGAATCTTGTCCCAAAGAACAACAGGGCCAGGTGGCAGCAGCTGCTGCTGTTTCTGTTGCTTCTGAAGACTAGCCTGAAGAGACGCAGCAGGAACAGCTCCTTCATTGATTCTCGACTCATCTTCCTCTGACAGACCCTGACCCTCTCCTACTATGCCATTCGTAACTTCTTTGTGCTCCTCGTGTGTGTCATTGTTGAGTTCCGCCACACCCTTGTTTAGAGCCCCATTGGGGCTCACTTGATGGGCACTACCTCTCATCAACCAGATTCAAAGAGACCCACAATGTGGAAAACAGTAGAATGAACCTGCGATAGTCCTTCGTTAATCCAACTGGAGGCCAGGCTCATTCTGTTGTCTTCAAGAGAACCAACTTTGTGCTTACCCTACATTGGAGAACAAAGAAGCAGGGAACAAACATCATTAAGACAATATATGATATGCCTGAAGTAATTATTATTCAACTGTTCCACCCCTAGAGAACATCTCTGCTTCTTGAGGATAGAATAATGACAGTAACAAAATAACAGGACAACATTGAATTACCTCTCAAATCAACAGGAATATAGACTATAAGCTCGATCAGCAGGGAATGATGAAGAAATCAGCAGTGTCCTTCAGTTGAAAACCCTGAATCTCCTCAAAACCTTAGAAGCAAGAAATTACAACTAAAAAAACTCAGAAATACGAACAAGTCGGTCAAAACAAGAACAGAAGCCTGCGAAAAATCTTCAATTAAGAAAACTAATACACAAGATAATCTTCTAGAAAAAACACAAACAATAGGAACAAAGGGCTTAAACATAGAGCACACAGTCAAACTACAATCCATTACTAATAAGTAACAGAAAAAAACACTCCTTTTGCCCCAACTTTGATCAAATAAACAGTCTAAGATCCAACAAAACTATCCAAGCGATTCAAGAACCAAAAACGTAAACCAAAATAGCACAAAAAAAGTACAAAATCAACCCAAAAACTCAAAACTTCTCTACAACAAATAATCATAAATAAAACGAAAGAAATAATAATATCAATTACTTAAAATAAAAAAATAAAAAACTTCCAAGAATTCATACCTCCTCGATCCGAGCTGATTCAGGCCAAACAGAGCAAGAACCCCCTTGGATCTAAGCTGTAATCCGATCACAGGTTCAAATCCAAGCAACAGAAAGCAAGAAGAAGAAGAAGAAGAAAGAAAAAAAGAGAGAATTTTTTTCTCTATAAAAACTGTAATTTTTTCAATAATCTCAAGTTGGGTGGAAATAGCTTGAGCAAAAAAAACCCATTTGATCTTCACCTCAACTTGGCTGCCGGTGTAAAAGCTAGGGAAAAAGATACCAAGGGGGCGAAGGCGAGAGATATTAGGGTCGTGCGGATGACGTGGCACAAGGGAAGGCCAGGACGAGTCCACGGCGGACAGGGATCGGGACGCGTGGCGCCGCATCAAGGGGCCGAGCTGGACAAAATCAAAAGCCAGCAGCTCGCTAGGGGCGAGAGGATCCTACAGGATCCGCGAGATCCGGCTCTGGACAAGTGGCGACTTCGGGAGGGGGGAACTGGTTGAGGTGGACGGTCGAGATTTGTTGCGGGTACGTCACTGTCGGTCGTAACGGAAAGCCGGACGCAGGCTGGGTGTACGGGTGGGCGGAGTTTCGGGGAGATGATCCCGCGGTTTTGCCCCGGAAAATCTAAATTGGGTGGAATATTCTCCCGAATATTTTTATTTTCCAATTGTAATAGAAAAATTTTCCGAATTAAGGTTAATCTCATAATATTTCTCTTTTTTCGGTAAATTTTATGTGTGTTTTAATGGGACTGTATGGTTAGAGGGAAATAGAGAGCAATCGGATTTATAAATATATCTTTTGGTTTACAATTTTGTAAATAGAAAAAGTAAATGAACTTACATTTTCTAGAAAAAAAACTTGCAACAAATGCTACAGGCAATTTTATGGCAGGAAAAGATACGTGATTCAAAATAAGAAATTAAAAAATAAATATAAATTTCACATCATCAAAAAAATCTTTTTAAATATAAATAGAAAACTACATCAACCAAAAGTTTTCTTATATGCAAAATTTTGCAACTTTATTTTTAACCAAACACTGACTTTTCATTGCAAATATATATCCTAGAATATAATCGCAAACATATAATGGTGAATTTATAGCAACAAACCAAACAACCCTAAATCTAATGGAAATTAATGTTTCTATAAATAAAAGAAAAAGTTCTAATCTTGTACATATTTATCGGGTTTAGAGATAAAATTTCCAGTGACTGATAAAGTTTGCTTGCTTTATTCAGTATATCTACATACGTATTCTACACAAGATTAGTCTCACAGTGATTTTGTAATTTAAAAATGTTCTTATTATTGTTGGGATATACTCTGTGTGTAATAATTAAAATAAATTTTGCGTATAATTAATATTCTTTTTTAATTATTACATTTTTATTTCTTCCAAAGGCTTAGGAATGCCCCCCCCCCCCCCCCGCCCACAACATTTTTGTGTGACTAATAATAAATGAATAGTAGTACCGAAAAAATGATAAATGAGTAGAGATTTACAGCAATGCCTTGAACAGAAAGTATTATATGGACCTTGTCCATGACACCAAATATGCACCAAAAATATATTGATTTTTAGATCAATGCATGAATCATGAAGTCTAATGATCTAATGATTGTTATTTTTTGATGAACGCTTCACTTTCTCCATTAAAATCCCTAATGCCAGTCTATAAAGAAATGTTTGCTCTCACTTTAAATGTATAGCATACATGCACGATCACTAAAGTTCGATTAATGCTACTAAACAACGTGTGAATTGCTGACAACTCTTCTCATGTATTCCTTTGGCAGTAATTATCGTCTCTCAAGTCTCAACTCTTCTAATAATAACACTTAGTGTCTATTCAGATTTGCTCCTAGTGAAGGGAAGTTATGAACATAAGATAAGTTAAAGAAATTTAAGGCAACATGCGAAACTTATTTGAAAATTTAGTAAGGAGAACCAAGAGGAACTTATTTTACCATGTTTGGGAAGTTTAACAAAGTGAAGAAAATGTAAGGGAATATATGTACATTATCATAAATAACCTTATATGCTATTTCACCCATTTAAATGTAATTTTGAGACAAGAGTAAAATTAACTTTATGTAATATTCTCTTTTTTTTTAACAGTTCAATTCTTCTCAATTACACCCTCTATTCCCTCTGTTACCTTAGCTCCAACCCCTCCCCCAATCTACCTTAAATGAACTTCCAAATATGCTTAACGTGTTCCTATCTTTTCTTATTTCGCATCAACCCCATTTCGGATTCTGAAATTGACACCTGGAATTGTGTTTGAACCCATCTTCTTAGCAAACATTATCAAAGATATATATGTGAGAGGTTATCCGTAATTTACTCTAAATATGAAGATAGAAAACTCGGGGAAAACGCATAAAGAAACTATGAGCCTGTTTGGATTTGTAGGGGGTGAAGGGAAGTTAAGGGAAACTAGGTGAGAGAATGGAAGGGAAGGGAAGGGAGTTCCCTTCCCTTTGGTTACACCCCAATTTGGGGGTAACAAATTTTATACTATTAGGAGGTGAACCAATGGGAACTAGGGTGAATAACTTCACCTCCTAAATGTTCCCAAACAAGGTGAATGGAGGTGAATGATTCTCCTAACTTTCCTTCACCCTTATTCCCCTCAATCCAGACAAGCCCTATATATCCACAAAATGTTTCCACATTAAGGGAGTTATTCGTAATTTATCTGAAAATAATTTCGAACAAACGCAAGTTTATATATGTAACATCTAGAACGTTCGCTCCTATGATATTTTCAAATGAAAACTAAAGACGCTTAGACCATGTGCAGCAGTGAAGCAAATGTGAAAATATGTGTTGCAGCAGTGAAGCAAATTGGAAAGCAAATGGAGAGAGAAGGAAATGGAGAGCAAAATTTGCCCATGGGCAACTCTGATTTTGTGGGCCCCACACCTGCAAATAAAATTTTAAAAAAATCTTCATCCTCCTTATTTTGTGGGCCCCACACCTACAAACACCTGATTTTCTTATCCTCCTATTTTGTAATTTATTATTTTAGCCCATAATTAATTAAAATTAATTTTTAATTTTTATATCAATATTTTTTTTTTATTTTTCAAGCTCTATAAATAGAGCCTAAGTTTGTGTCATTTGGACACCAAAAAAAATCTGAGATTTTTACACCCTATTTTTACATCAAAAAAAATTATATATTATTAATTGCAAAATTAATGCCATTTTTAAAAATTATATATTATTTATAAAACATATGTCAAATAAATAAATATGAATATAAAATGAATAAATATGGTGGGGTTTATATATTATTTATAAAACATATGTCAAATAAATAAATATGAATATAAAATGAATAAATATGGTGGGGTGTATGATAGAGTGATGTGGATGAAAGATAAAATATGGTGGGGTATAGATAAAGTAAAAAATTACATATTTGCTTTTCTGCTGTGGAGCTGAAAGAAAAGAGGGAAGCAAATATTGAATTTGTGGGGACAAAAGCTGAGGTGGAGGGCAATATTTACCCTTTTGCTGCTGATGGTCTTAGTAAGGTGCCATCTGGAAAGATCCACGAAAGCTTTGATATAATTTAATATTGGCTAACTTATTAAGCCTTTGCTTAGATGCAACACACCAATACAACTTATTAATTAAGCTATGATATTTTCATTGGTCCAAATGTTGAGCATCTTGTTGCTTGTTGACTTAAAATAAGCTTATTGGGTGTCATTGTTACAACGCTCCCAACATGCAAGCTATACTTCCAACCGTCAAGGGAATCTAAATCCTAAGGGTCAATAAACTATCCACATAATATCCAAGTTTTTTCCTAAGGTGTTCGGACGTTGCTTTCTTGGACTAGCAACTATCAAGGGTCATTCTTTTGATACGCGGATGTTGTTAATACACAAGTAAATGAGAGATGATGTGTTTCTACACGAGTTTTTTTGCTTAACTAGTTGAGATGCACGTGTAATGCACGTGGTTGAATATCATGATTATTTAAATTGATAAAAATAGAGTAAAAATAAAAAAGGAAAACAAAGTTTTTTTTGGGGGGGATTGATCATCAACTCAATAATCTCTCTTTCAAATAAAATATTATCATTGTTTCCTTCAACCTAAATTGTGGCCACATGATCTACTATTTATGAGTTATAAACACATTAATCTAGTATAACATCTCTATTTATTAGTATCTTGAACTCTTCAAAAGATGTGTGATCATTCAATTTGCAAAGGAATTTTGCATATAAATTTACTTGCAATATGTATGTTAAACTCTTAGATGTGGTTTGAATCATATTCACGTTAGCTTTTAGTTGTGATTTCACTCATATTTATATTATAAAATATTCTCATTCAATTTTATAGCTCATTCTCTATACCATAGAAGTAAAACTGAAAGTATGAAGAATTATTTTCTTGCGAAATTAGAGCAGAGAGATTATGATATATTTCGCCATGAGCTCTAAATATAAAAATTTCTTTTTTCTTTAATGCAATGTCCCTATCAAATCTTACTCCAAACGATATGAATGAAAAATGCTATTATAACTCATTTGCCTAGGAGAATTATATTGTATATAAGACATATAACTCATCTGAAATATCCACAGCTGCTAAGTGGATTTTGCTGTTGTGAGAACAACATGTTAGATGCTCGTATTTAAACTTTTTGGCTCTATAAAGACCCAAGAATTTGGAGTACACAGCTTATATATCATAAAGAACATATTGGTTTATGAAGAATTTTCTCTGATAACAATATTATTATAACGATATTATTATTCAGTACTGAATCAATTTTATTATATAAGATTATATGACCCTTTTTAATAAATTATAAAGTATATATATGAAAACCTCAACGCTTATAGCCAGTAGGTGGTCTCCACAAAATAGGTTAACTTTATATTGTAGTTTGCTATTTGTAATACTGTTAGCAATGTCATTACATTTTCTTTTTATCTTATTATTCACTCTTTTCTGATGTAAGTTCTCTTTTGTTAATCACTCAATTGGCTATATTTAGTTGTGGATCCTCTGACTCCTCGCTCCAGCAGGGCTTCGCCGCTCTCTTAGAAAACTCCGACTCCTTGCTCCGGCAGGGCTTCGCCGCTTCAGAAGAAGGCGATCCTTGGCTAAGATAATTCAGCCTTGGAATTCACCCCACAATCCAGAGCCTCTTCAAATGAGGTAAAGGGGTCCTATTTATAGGAAAACAAGAGGGGGGCGTCCGCACAGATCTAGGACACCCCAGGGG